ACAAAACAAAGAGGTTGTAACAGATCAGTCAAAATCGTATGAGAGCAGTATTCCTTCATAAAGTCTTACTAAATCTCTCAAGTTACTTCATAGACTGGTTCCCTGTCCTTTATCTGTTTGGCTCTGACAGATACCTGTATGTTGCAAGGGAGCTGACTGATACCTGTATGTTGCAAAGGAGAAAACCACCCTAGTATATTCAATTCAAAATGTCAATTGAATAAATAATACTGATCACATAAGGATTACACTGCTATGCAGTCCAAGGGGGCTTTAGTTAATTTCTCTATCCATTCTTCATAAATTGTCTGCCGGTCAAACATAGCCGGACTTCAAAGTGCACATATTTTAAAATATAATCGCGTTTGCAGTAAAAATATGTCTGAAAGAATAACAAAGAATAAAACTCACCAGCAAGTGGCGGTCCTATGAGTGTTCCGACTCCAACGTATACCATGAGATAACCAACACCATGTGCAAGTTTCTCATGTCCTAAAATATTTATAACTATCGTATTCACAACTGCCCAACAGCAACCAGAATATCCGCCAAGTAGGCTAGCAAACATAACTTTGGCCGTTGTATATGAACTGAATAAAGGAAATATTATGGTACCCAAGCCTAACAAACTATTCACTCCAAATAACATTATTAATTCATCAATGTTATGACTGTTATTTGCCATACCAAATAATACCCGTGTGAAACAGCCAGACATACCGGCTATAGATAAAAATATAGACACTTCCATTTTCGATGATTTTGTATGAAGACAAAACTCAGGATAATGTATATAGAGTAGATAAGTGCTAATATTTGCCAGGAAGAATCCTAAACATACACACAACATTGATCCACTCCGAACTATCTCCATATAAGACGACACAGAATCACACAATCTTTCCTTACGGTTTGAATTCGCAATTTTCATTGCAAGTTCTGTTTTAGATGGTCGAAATGTGGCACCGAACACACAGTTTTGTAATGCAAGGCCTCCTAATAATAGAAAAAATCCGGAATAATTGTATTTCTCATATATTAATTGGAAAACAGGAGTAAGAATGAAAGGTCCAATTCCGCCACCCGATACAGCTATGCCACACGCCATGTTACGTTTCTGTTCAAAGTTAAACGCTATCACTATCAAACCTGTATTGTAGCATAACCCAAGTCCTATTCCTGAAAAAGCAATAATATTCAGATTACTGATTGATTGATGGTGTTTAATGTCATCTTCAGCATTATTTGATATATCGTGGCGGTCAGTTTTTATTGGTGGAGGAAACCGGAGTGCCCGGAGAGAATCACGGATCTTGGATCGACCGGAAAACTGACCATCCTAGTCAATTAAGATTGGAGTAGAACTTGCGGGGTTCGAATTAACAACCTCAGTGTTGACAGGCCTATCATACAGTAGACGGACCATATAGACAATTCTGCCACCTCGGCTCCTTTTCATTAGCATTACTAAAATGATGCTTAAATGAACAAGAGGTTCTTAAGAGCCTGAATCGTTCACCTGTAGAGTTTTTTAAAAATTTTCATCAAAGTTTTTCTTTTGCTTTTAAGTCTTTAATGTATAATTAGTGAGTGTGGACACAAACTAGTGTGGATAGTAACCAGCATTCATAGAGTATTGCATAGCAATTAGGAAAGGTGAGCTTAAAACAATAAACGAAAAGCAAATATGAAACAGAGCAACAATTAACAACCACTAAAATTATTGGATTTGGGTTGTGCAAGGAGGGATAAAATTTATGTACTGTATCCAACCCTGTCTTTAAAATGGGACCGTTGGGTTACAGCACAACATAAGAACAAATATTTATTTTTTTAAATAGACTTCCTGTATGTACCAGTGTGTTTATTTATTCCACATTAGCTAGATGTACAAAATTATTTGGTGATAGGTTTATATCTCACAAAACATGTATAACTTGCTGAATTTTTGTGTATGTCCTAATTCAGGAACATCTAGGTAGCTTTTGTTAGTCTTGTATGGTTTTTTTTTAATCTTGGTTCATATCTGTTTGGAAGTGAAGTGACGTCCTTTTTTTTTGTACTAGTATACATTGATGATTAAGGCCCTGATCAGGCCTGCTTCTGCGTGTTGGATTATGGATTGTGTTAAAGGCCCATTGCTGGCTTTAAGCTATTTTCTGTTTTATTTTCAGGTTGTTGTCTATTTGACACATTCCCAGTTTCCATTCTTTGTTTATTGTAATAAGTCAAAACTGGTAATATGCCAAACATATTGTTTCATGATAAACTTTGATTTACATGACCATAAACTTTTAACCTGGGAATGTACTGTGTTCAAAATATAACATTTTATGCTTAGTCAACTATGAAATTTGAGTCAAAAATTTTTTTTGGCTTACCAATTCATTCTTTTCAGCAAATGGGATGCATCCACAATTTAGATGATTTTGTCAAGAGTTATTTCCCTTTTCAGTAGGTGTGACAGTCGAAGACATCATGACTTTCATCCGCTGCCTACGAATAAAGATCGAGTGATCTGAGCGATAAAGTGGAATCCCTTCGTAACCGTTGTAAGATTTATGCATCAACGGAAGAATTAAACATTTACCAGGATGCAAAATAAAACAGAAAGGTAAGAAGGAAATGCTAAAAGAAAAACTACGATCCCGAACTCAGAACAAATAAACCCATAAAATGAAAAAAGAAAAAAAAAGAATTTCAGAATCAGTTATTTGTAGATCTTACTTTGCTGAACATTTTTACTGTTTACAGTGTCTCCCTATTTATGATAATATTCAAGATAAATAACCAAAAACAGCAAAAATATTTTTTTTTTATCAAAACTGCATTGTTATCCTACGTTCTATTTAAGTCACAGTGGCCATGTTTCTTGACGTACAAAAAAATGAAACGTAAAATGCATACTAGTTACGTATACCCTAAGGTTCATTCAGCCCAAGTTTGGCTGAATTTGCTTCAATAGTTTCAGAGAGGCTTTTTGAAAGTAACAAACATGATAAACAAATTATGTAAAATTACATTTAAAGGGCAAAAACTTCTTAAGGGGTCAATTGACAATTTTGGACATTTGACTTATTTGTAGATCTAACTTTGCTGAACATTTTTAATGTTTACAGTTTATTTTTATCTATGATAATATTCAAGATAATAACCAAAAACTGCATAATTTCATTAAAATTATCAATTTAGGGGCAATAATCCAAAAATCGGTTGTCTGATTAGTCTGAAAATTTCAGGGCTTGACCTAATGATGACTTTTATCCCATGTCAGATTTGCTCTAAAATTAGTTTTTGAGATATAAGCCAAAAAACTGCATTTTACCCCTATGTTCTATTTTTATCCATGGCGGCCATGTTTTTTGACGAAACAACGTCAAAAAATTAAACACAAACTTTATACTAGATACCCTAAGGATCATTCAGCTTAAGTGTAGTTAAAATTGGTTCAGTAGTTTCAGAGGAGAAGATCTTTGAAATAGTTTACATTGGACGGACGACGGACGACGACGGACGCCAAGTGATGGCAAAAGCTCACATTTCCTTTTAGGAAAGGTGAGCTAAAAATGAAATATTTTTTTTACTCTCAAACATCTTTTACAAACAAATATATGAATTTGCTAATGCACATGTTTTCTTGCCGGCACATCTGCTCTTAATCGGTATGCTATTGAAATATTTCTGTTGGAGTTCGGTCGCAGTCAATGATACTTTCAGGTGTGCTTGTATACATTTTATATTCATCCATTTTAAAATATTTGTGGATGTCAATTATGATGTGTCCTAGCAATAATAATATTCTCATATCCAAGCAATTGCAGTTTTCCATTCTGATACTTAATGGACACCAATTGCCTTCAAATATTAAAAACCTGATACAGTATTTATTTTTTTTGTTATAACATTTATTTTTAATTATCTTTGCAATATACATGTGCTACCTAGAAAATGAATTGTTGTCAATGTAATAAAATATTATGCACAATCGTAAATATATATTCCCTAATTAGCATATGAATGACAAAACTAATCATACATTTGAAACATCACTGCTACAGTCTTTGCTTCATTGTGTTAAAAATCCCGCAAATGCATGGTTTCGTGCGTTTACTAAGAAACGCGTTTAACGCAATAAAAATAATTACTACACATCAGTTATTATTGTCACAATGGTATGTTAGAGTGTCAATTGGTTTCGCAATATCAACAAGTTGTCTTTTCTACTTTTTATAAGCCTAGTTAGGTCAGCGTTGAATATACATATACCAAACGTTTAATGATTTATGTTAAAAATGTTAAGTTGGAAACTGCTAAATATGTCTTTTACAAATATAATGTTAGTTTTTTTTTTTTTATTCGAGCGGGACTAATGACTCTTGTAAACGAAATGCGCGTCTGGCGAACACAATTATAAGCCCGGTGTATTTGATGAGTTTTTTTGTATATGAACTCTGATATCTAATTAATAATGGTTTTTAAAATATCGAGATTTTTTTCGTTTCGTTTAAATCAAGGTACATTTTATCTAAATTAACATTCTCTGTAATAAAGTGACAAGATTTAAAAGACTCCTGAATTCTGATGTGTCACACTCCCTTCACGTTCCAATATTATTAACATGTATTCTGCAATGTAGTAATAAAAGCAACGAACTTCAGCGCGGTCTATTTTCTGTCTTTATAGTGTTTAATGTTGCTTTTTAAAATGGGTTCCAATTTTTCATAATAATTAAAGTTTCTTAGGTGATCGCATGCATTCCAAAGAATAACATTGAATGATAGTTGCTAAGAAAAACGACGATCGTTTCTTGGTGCGAAACGCATAATTTTTATTTGTGATGTGTTTCTATCGTTCTTGCGACTTTTTGTTATCCATTCGTTCCGGTAGTTAATATATTCTAGCATTTGATTTTGTCAGATTTTATTGACTCCTCCTTTTGAATCTACTTTGGAGTTCGGTTTTATATTAATACGTTTTATCTTGAACGTTACTATTTTTACCTGAAAGAATTCCAAATGTAAGATATGTCCATTTGATATCCTCTACAAACCCTGTTAAGACAAGTCCTGTGGATAACATGAGTGATCCTAGTATCATAGCCACTCTACAACTAAATCGATTGATGATGGTACTGGCAATAGGTCCTGAAAACATAACAATGGTAATTGCGAAACACTAGCTTGCTTTTTTATAACAGAAATATCAAAATACGTACTAGGCTGGCAGCAAGTTTACATTTTCCAAACCTACCAAACTACATTTGTACCATTTTGTATGTTTTGTTAATCCGTTCTAGTCCTTGCATGAAATATTTACAATTGGAGGTTAAGCAAACACCAATCAATGAATCAATCAATATAATTTCCTATTTATTAGATATGATAACGTAATCCATACACCTGCAACTTTCCCGTTAAGATTACGAAACCCTCTATAAGTTAGATTAATTCCTGACATTGCTCTTCCTTGGATTTCATGACGATGCTGTGCTCTCTATTTCAATTATTTTAGTGTATGCCATTTTGGCATGTTTGGGAGGCTACTAATTACACGCAAACAAAATCGTATCCAGTTAAGCAAGGACGACCCGGATTCTCGTAAATCACTAATTTTAGTGTGTATTGATTTGTCCCTATATGTTGTAATAATTCAATATTAATGATGTACTAGACTTAAATGATGATGTAACTTCAATCACATTAAATGACTTAATTATTCATTTCAGACCAAAACACAAAAAGGTTGATTATCGATTTACCTGAGCCTGTCATTAAAGCTAAAAATAGTGCAGATATCCATGTTGTTGTCAATAAATCGGCATTGAAGTTTTCTAGAAGAGCGATATGTATCATTCCACTAGCATACGCACAATAGCCCATTACAATGTGTTCTCCTACTGATCCTAAAAGGACAAACCATGCCCAACCTTTGTTGGGTGAAGTCGGCGACATTTCGAAATGCAAACACGATTACACAATAATCATGAAAACACATAATTTGAACTTGAGTTGATACGAATCCATGCGAGAAAAATTCCTTCGGTAAGTGTTGTCCTTATGTGAAAGCTTAACATAAAGTATATGTACAATAACTATCGTTACAACTTTTTTTAAATTAATTCCACCCTTAGTTGGTTTCATTTGACTCAAGCTAGCAAACAATTTTAGCGAACAATTAGCTAGCAAACAAGTGAGAGGTATAACTAAAAACAACAATTTCACATAAGACGATCACGTATTTTTCGAGCTAAAGAACAATTAAAGAGACCTAGCGAACAATTATGAATATGTATGTACATTAGTTTATTTTGGGCCATTTTTAGAGATTGCAACGGGCAACTACTATATAGGTAATGTGGGGAGACATTGGCGTATGGTTTAGGAAAAACTCTGAAGTTAGGGTAAAAAAACTGAAATTGACAAAACTAAAATAGGAAGGTTGCGTACCAATAGTTTATTTTTGACAAATTTATAGAGATGTTGACGGGCAACGACTATTTATAGGTGATGTATAACAGGCATTGTCATATTGTTTAAGAACAATTTCAGAATGGATTATGTTCGAAAACCTGAAGTTAGGGTAAAAAAACTGAAATTGACAGCGAAAATAGGAGATAGGGTACCTTAAGTTGATTTAGGACCAAACTAGAGATTGTGACGTATTGTTTTGGAAAAACTCCAGAATGGTTCATTTTCGAAAATCTGAAGCTAGGGTGAAAAATTCAAATTGACAAAACGAAAATAGAGTGTGCAGGAAAATGTCCAGAATAGTTTATGTTCGGAAATCTGAAGTTAGGATAAGAAAAACTGAAATTTACAAATCGAAAATAGGGGTGGGTGGGTGGGTCTATTTAGCTGATTTTGGACCTATTTATAGAGATTGTGACGGGCAACGACTATATAGGTGGCGTAGACGACGCATTAGTGTATTGGTTAGGATAAAATACAGAATGGTTTATGGTCGAAAATCTAAAGTTGGGGCACACAAAAACTGAAAATTACAAAACGAAAAATGATTGGCGTATCTTAAGCTAATTTTGGACCAATTTATAGAGATTTTGACGGGCAACGACTATAAAGGTGGTGTAAAACAGGCATCGGCAAATCGTTTAGGAAAACTACAGAATGGTTTATGTTCGAAAATCTGAAGTTAGGGTAAAAAGACTGAAATTGAAAAAAGCGAAAATAGGGAATGGGGTACCTTAAGACGATTAAGGACCAAATTATAGAGATTGTGACGTGCAACGACTATATAGGTAATGTAAAACAGGTTTCGGTGCATCGTTTAGGAAAACTCCTGAATAGTTAATGTTTGAAAATCTGAAGTTAGGGCGATCAAACTTAAATTGACAAAACGAAAAAAGGGGGGTGGCGTACCTTAAGTTGATTTCGGACCAATTTATAGAAATTGTGACGGGCAACAGCTATATAGATAATGTAAAACAGGCATCGGCGCATCGTTTATGAAATACTCTAGAATAGCTTATGTTCTAAAATCTGAAGTTAGGGTAAAAAAAAACTGAAATTGACAAATCGAAAAATAGGGGGGAGAGGGGATAGGGGGTACATTTAGCTGATTTTGGACGAATTTATAGAGACTTTGACAGGTAACGACTATAGAGTTGATGTAAAACAGGCATCGGCACATTGTTTAAGAAAAAAACTACAGAATGATTCATGTAAGAAAATCTAAAGTTAGGGTGAAAAAAAATGAAATTGTCAAAACGAAAACAGAGGGTTTGCGTACCTTATGCTGATTTTGAATTTATAAAGTTTGTGACGGGCAACGACTATATAAGTAATGTAAAAGAGGCACCGGCACATCGTTTCGGAAAAACTCTAGAATGGTTTATGTTTGAAAATCAGAAGTTAGGGTAAAAAAACTGAAATTGAAAAATCAAAAATAAGGGGGGGGGGGGGGGGGGGGGGGGGGGGGGGGGGGGTAGGTACATTAAGTTGATTTAGGACCAATTTATAGAGATTGTGAAGAGAAACTACTAAATAGGTGATGTAAAACAGGCAACGGCTCATCGTTTACGAAAAACTCCAATATGATTTATGTTCGAAAATCTGAAGTTACGGTAAAATAAAACTGAAATTGGCAAAACGAAAATAGGGGATTCACCTTCAGTATATTTAGGACCAAATTATAGTGATTGTGAAGGGAAACTACTATAAAGGTTATGTAAAACAGGCAACGGCTCATCGTTTACGAAAAACTCCAAAATGATTTATGTTCGAAAATCTGAAGTTAGGGGACAAAACTGAAATTGAAAATAGGAGGGTGGGGTACATTAAACTGATTTTGGACTAATTTATGAGATTGTGACGTCCCGGGTTTTCGTATATCCAATAATTTTAGTTTGTATTGATTTGTCCCTACATGTTTAAAAATTCAATATTAATGATGTACTAGATTCAAATGACGATGTAACTTCAACTACATTAAATGACTTAACTCTAATAATTCATCTGCAAACCAAATAGCAAAAAGTTTGATTATCGATTTACCTGATCCTGACATAAAAGCTAAGAATAGTGCAGATATCCATGTTGTTGTCAATAAATCGGCATAGAAGTTTTCTAGGAAAGCAATATGTATCATTCCGCTAGCATACGCACAATAGCCCATTATAATGTGTTCTCCAAATGATCCTACAAGAACAAACCATGCCCAACCTTTGTCGGGTGATGTCGGCGACATTTATAAATGACACATATGATTACACAATAATCATAAAAACATATAGTTTGCACTTGAGTTGATACGAATCCATGCGAGAAGAATTCCTCGGTATTTCAATCCTGACTGTTTTGTCCTTATGTGAAAGATTAATATAAAGCCAATGTACCATAACTATCGTCACAACTTTTTTTAAATTTATTCCACCCTTAGTTGGTATAACATATATATTCATATGTATATTCTTTATATGTGTCTTAAAAGAACAATTGAATGTTAAGTATCTTTTCATCATAGGATAATAACTAATGATTTCTATCCTGTTCCTCTTTATATAACTTTGTCGTAAAAAATTACAAATATTTCATGATGAATACTAAGAATAAATATTGCAGAAACAGTATTTCATATTGTCAGTTACTTCATCTTTAGAACTTCTTAAACCTCTACAGGAAGGAATACTTTCATATAAACGCCGGATACGATTTATACACCCATTATTTTATCCTTTAATGAATTTGAAATACACTTGTACTTTTTGTAATAATTTTATTCATTAAATGTGAAAAAATTCTGATAACAAATATATAACCCCAAGGTTCTAAAATGACTATTTGAAAAAAAGTATTTCTTAAATATACAAATGTGCAAATCAATCTTTGCTATTTCGTCAATCAAAGAAATTCACACATTATGATATTATAATGGAAATATAGCTTCATCTGGACCTCTACCGTTCAACGATATGACCCATGATTAGCCAGGGGTTCTCGACTACACACGAGGGTATCGCGCTGGTCGTACTGTTTGATATGCGGATACACAGCCTTGGCGTCAGGTTAGAATGAGTTAATTCCGATGTTTCAAGTTCACGCTTGGAGTATGCCATGCTTTCTGCAGATAAACAACCCTTTTAATTAGAAAGTTGAAATCTTTTTTAAAATCTCTTAATGTCTTCTTGAGGTTGGGGCAAAAGGAGACCATTTTAATGGTACACTTTTGCCCATGTTCAATGCACCGTCTTGTTTTGAATTGCTATCTACCCTTGGTCGTCATTAGAGTTTATTTATTTCAACAAACCCTTTTGAATTCTGGTTAAAATCAAGCAACTATTTGCATAGGCAACTCAAGTGGTATTTTGAGGATTTGCGTTTTTATTATAAAAATGTGTCGACAAAATGTCCCGTTCTGAATTTTCAACACTTTGATTGTGAATGAATCCGCAAAAACATATGGTGTCACAGCTTTTTTGATTAAAAATGCAATTTTCTATGTTTCCGGCCTGTTCGATGTAGATTGAATGAACACCCCTTACATTATTCTAAGCGAAGAACTGCATTCATCACAAAGAGTGTCCGCAAATGTTTCGCTATACTTACACAAATAGCCGACATTCAATTCTCACTATTTCTAATTTGAATTTTCTTTTCTTATTAACAAGGAAGCAGGAATAAAATTACTTCTATCATTGGTGTTTGGCGTCCGTCATTCCTATTTACTTCCTTTTACCCTTCTAGGTGAATTTCCATTTTGTTCTTTGTTTGATGGTTGCATTGTTAACTTCGAATTTGATAATGTCGAATAATTTACGTGTGATTCAGATCACGCCTATAATTGTTATTTTCACGGTATAACTCAAACTCAATTTCAAATGCCGATGGAGTAGAAGTTAAAAGTATTGAAAGAGTTTTTTTGAAGCATTTTGCAAAACCATACACAGCAGTATAACGTTCAATCTATTTTGTTTTTACTTTTGAAGCACATCATTCATATCATCGACAAGCTTATCGAAACAAGACTCTTTGGGAGTTTTTTAATTGTTTTTATTTTTTATTTCATCAAGCTGGTTTGAATTAATTCGAAAATGAAATAAATAGACTTCACTCGGCTATTTTGTTGTTTGTTTTTTGTTTTGTTTTGTTTTTTGTTTTTTGTTGTTGTTGTTATTCCTAATGTTCAACGTACTATCTGACATAATCGATCCTAAATAAAACGATCTTCCCCTCTCGCCGAATCCAGAAGGTCGACAGATATAGAACAGATATGATAATTAGGCCGTGTTACATATCAAAATACTCATACTAAGATAATTTTATCTGATTTACCAGTATTTCACATGAATTATATGAATATCTTTACATTTATAATTATATGTGTGTATGCGTTTAAAATGTTTATTTTTTTACTTATATAAAAGATCAAATTCGAGGATATTGAGCTGCCAAGTTATTAGCCAACGATAACATGGATGCAAATAGGGGAACTATTAAAACGCAAAAATACAATGTCCCGTTATTGTGTCATATTTGTAGTATATGTTTTGATTGCTATAGCACGAATATGATTTTTTCAAATAAACTTATTCATTCATTCATTCATGTATTCAATGTAGTTTATTTGAGACGCGTCTAGCTATAATATATAAATTATAAGACTAGTATATTTAATGAGTTTTAATTATATTTATAAATTTCATCTGGAAAATTTATTCTTCAAATATAA